GTTTCCCCCTTTTTCCCCCCAGATGTCCTCCCCCGAGGAGACCCTCCTGCTGCTGGAGCACCGCTACGTCTGCTCCGAGTGCTCCCACCTCTCCCCCTCCCTGGAGGAGGCCCTGCTGCCCCACCAGCACCACCTGCAGCCCCCCGCCGCCGGCCCCCAGACCCAATTCCCCGCCCCGCCCCCTGCCCACCCCCACCTGGAGCTGCTGGGGGTCCCGGCCGAGCTGGAGCCCCCCAGCCAATTCCAGTGCCTGGAGTGCGGCGCGCTGCTCCTGACGCCGGGCCAGCTCCTGGAGCACCAAGAGCTGCACCTCAAGCTGCTGGCGGAGCCCCCGAGACCCTCCCCAAATTCCGCCATCCACTTCGAGTGCCCCGAGTGCCGGGCGCTCTTCCAGAGCCAGGAGCTGTGGCTGGCTCACCGCCAGAGCCACCGAAACGCCCCGAACCCTCCCCAAAACCCCACCAGGGTGGATCTGGAGCATTCCTACCGCAAGCACGGCGCCGACGGCGCCGCGGAGCCGCCGGCCGACGCCGAGAGCTCCGTGCAGCTCCTCCTCTACGAGTGCGGCGAGTGCCTGCAGCTCTTCCAAACGCCCAAAGATTTTTTGGAGCACCAATCCGCGCACTTGGCGCCGCCGGCGCCGCCGCCGGAGCCGCGCTGCCAGCACTGCCGCGAGCTGCTGCCGTCGGCGCGGCTGCTGCGCCGCCACCTGCGCTGCCACGCCCTGGGCGCCTTCCAGTGCCCGCTGTGCCCGCGGGTGCTGCCGGACCCGGCCGAGCTGCGCCGGCACCGCGCCGGCCACGCCGGCGACTCGCTCTTCCTGTGCCTGGACTGCGGCTCGGCGCTGGACACCGAGGCGGCGCTGCTGGCGCACCGCCGCGGCCACGGCGTGGCCGAGCCGCTGCACCGCTGCGCTTGCGGCAAAACCTTCGCCAGCATGACCAAGTTCCTCTACCACCGCCGCTCCCACGCGGCGCCGGGCTCAATCCCGGCGCCGGAGCCGCTTTTGGAGCAGCCGGAGGTGAGTTTGGCTTGCGGAACGTGCCAGAAGGCGTTCCCCAGCGCGGCGGCGCTGGCGCGGCACCAGCGCTTCGTGCACCGGCTGGAGCGGCGGCACCGCTGCGGCGCCTGCGGCAAGAGCTTCAAGAAGTCGTCGCACCTGCGCAACCACGCCCGGACGCACACCGGCGAGCGGCCCTTCCCCTGCGGCGAGTGCGGCCGGCGCTTCAGCTCCCGCGCCAACCTGCTGCGGCACCGGCTGACGCACACCGGCGAGCGGCCGCACCAGTGCCCCGAGTGCGGCAAGCGCTTCGCCCAGAACTCCACGCTGCGGCAGCACCTGCAGCTGCACCTGCGGCGCTTCCCGCACCGCTGCGGCGACTGCGGGCTGCGCTTCCGCCGGCCGCACCGGCTGCTGCTGCACCGCGCCCACCACAGCGGCGAGTACCCCTACAAGTGCCCGCAGTGCGGCTGCACCTTCCTGCTGCGGCGTCTGCTCGACGTCCACCTGCTCGGCCACGCCGGCAAGGAGCCGGCCAGGTGCCAGGGCTGCGG